GTCCCTGTGCCCGTGGGGTCACCTCGCACTGGGGTCCCTGTTCCCCGCGGGCTCCCTGGGCCCCCGGGGGTCCCCGTGCCCTGGGGGTCCCCGTGCCGCTGTGTGCCCCCCCAGCCGGTTTTGGGGCGGCCCGTGCCCCGCTGTTCCCCAGGAGATGAACACCCGGGAGCGGTTCAACGCCTCGGCGCGGGTGCGGGTCAATGTGCTGGACGGGGATGACCAGTACCCCCAGTTCCTGCCCTGCACCCCCCGCGCCCCCCACAGCCCCCCGGTCTGCACCAGCCCCGTCTACACCGCCAACGTCACCGAGGGCCAGCTCCAGGTGGGGCACGGCACCCTGCGGACACCGCGGGGGCGGGGGGCTCCGCAGGGCTCGGCCGGACACCTCCGTGTCCCCTCCTTGTCCCCAGGGCGGTCCCCTGAGCTTCAGCCCCGGCGCCGTCTATGCCGAGGACGGGGACAGGGGGCTGCGGGCGGCCATCACCTACTCCCTGCTGGCAGGTAGGGGGGACACGGGGGTCAGGGACATGCAGGCAGTGACACACGCTCACAGGTGGGGACACGGGGACACAGGCAGGCACAGACGCGTGGGCAGGAACACGGGGACAGGGACACCACAGCAGGGACGCAGGTGGGACACGGGGACGGGGGTGTGGTGGGCGGGGACATGGGGGACAGAGGGGCCATGGTGCCTGGGGTGGGTCCAGGGCCACCCTGCGCCCCCCAGTCCCTGGCACTGCCGATGGTGGGGGTCTGTGGGGAGGGGGCGTCCCCTCCAGGGGTTCCTGTGCTGGGGGGATCCAAGTCAGCACAATCCAATTGCCAGATCCACTGGGGCAAATTGAATAAAGGGATTGAGCTGGGGGGGCCCTAATCCCCCCCCCCCGGCGCGGGGGGTGCGGGGTGGGGTGAGCCCCTGGTGCACCCAAGGGTGCTGCAGCACCAGAGGGGTTAAACCTCCTCCATACTGGGCTTCAAAGGGTTAATAACGCCCTCCCTGTGCGTGTCCCCCACCTTCAAAATAAGGGGATTCTCCCCGCCAGGAAGGTCCAGGAATGGATGGGGGGGACACCAGGGACCTCCCTCGGGGCTGCCCCAGGGGAGTTTCCCACAGTGCCCCGGGGCAGGAGGCAGCTGGGGGGTCCGGGGGGCGGAGGGGTCTCGGGGTGCCCATGTCTGTGTCCCCCCAGGTCAGGAGAGCAGCAGGTTCCACATCGACAACGTGACCGGGGCCATCACGCTGCTGCGGGCGGTGGAGAGCAGCCGCCAGACCCCCGAGATCTGCCTCAGCGTCATGGTGGGCGAGGAGGGGGACACGGGGGTCCCGGGGGTGCTGGGAGCTGCCCGGGGTGCTCCGGGAAGCGCCCATGGGTGCGGGAAGCTGGGGGCAGGGGGTGACAGCCGTGTGTCCCCCCGTGTCCCCCCAGGCCTCGCAGGTGAACGACCCCTCCAAGTACGCGGTGGCGCGGGCCCTGGTGCGGGTCCTGGCCCCGAACCGGCACCCGCCGCGCTTCCCCCGCGCCCGCTACCGCGCCTTCGTGGCCGCCGCGCCGCGCCGCGCCGCGCTGCTGCTCACCTTCGGCGGAGAGGCGCTCGCCCTGCGCGCACACGACCCCGACTTCCCCGAGGTGCGCGCAGGGCAGCGGGGCAGGAAGGGCAGCAGGGGCCGGGGAGGGCTGCAGGTGGGCACGGAGGCAGCGAGGCAGCGAGGGTGAAGGGACGGTGCAGGGAGGATGAAGGTGGGATGCAGGTGGGGATGAAGGTGGGAGACAGTGAGGATGAAGGTGGGATGTAGGGGGGATGAAGGTGGGATGCAGGTGGAGATGCAGGTACGGATGAAAGCAGGGAGGCAGTGAGGATGAAGGCGGGATGTAGGGAGGATGAAGGCAGGGAGGTAGTGAGGATGAAGGTGGGGATCACAGGTGGGATCACAGGGATGGCAGGTGGGGATCACAGGCAGAGGAGTGGGCAGTGATCAGGTTCTGGGGAGGGGGTGCGGGCAGGAGCTGACCCCCCCCGCAGGGGGTGAACCCCCAGGTGCGCTACACCCTGAGCCCCGGCGCCAACCAGAGCCAGCAGCTGTTCCAGGTGATGCCCAACGGGCTCCTGGTGGCCCAGGCAGACCAGCTGCGGCCCGG